TTCACTCCAAAAACACTAGCCAAGCTTCTTATTGCTTCTCAAATCTTTGTGGGTGTGGCCGAAGTCCTATGAGTTTTCGGTTTTGGAGCTTCTAAACGGAAAAACACTACTTTAGCTTTTGGGATCCAGTTGTGGTTCTAGTTCTTATACCCAATCATAAACACGGGATCTAGTCATAATTCACCCCAAAAACACTAGTCAAGCTTCTTATTGCTTCTCAAATCTTTGTGGGTGTGACCGAAGTCCTATGAGTTTTCGGTTTTGGAGCTTCTAAACAGAAAAACACAACTTTAGGTTTTGGGATCCAGTTACGGTTCTACTTCTTATACCCAATCATAAACACGAGATCTACTCATATTTCACTCCAAAAACACTGGCCAAGCTTCTTATTGCTTCTCAAATCTTTGTGGGTGTGGCCGAAGTCCTATGAGTTTTCGACTTTGGAGCTTCTAAACGGAAAAACACTTCTTTAGCTTTTGGGTTCCGGTTGCGGTTCTAGTTCTTATACCCAATCATAAACACGAGATCTAGTCATAATTCACTCCAAAAACACTAACGAAGTTTCTTATTGCTTCTCAAATATTTGTGGGTGTGGCCGAAGTCTTATGAGTTTTCTGTTTTGGAGCTTCTAAACGGAAAAACACTACTTTAGCTTTTGGGATCCAGTTGCGGTTCTAGTTCATATACCCAATCATAAACACGAGAAATAGTCATATTTATTAGAGTGTATGAAGAAAAGGAGAGAGAGGCCAAAGAGGCCGAGCCATCTCCAAGAAAGAGAAGAAGAAGTAGAAGGGGGTCGAGGCCGAAGTCATGAAGACAAGGCCGAAGATCTCCATAAGATAGCCGTGCAAAGCTCGGGTCACTTCAAGGTGTCAAGGCCGGAAGTGCAAAATTGGTGTAAAGTCACCGAGACACCGAAGTGCAAAATTGGTGTAAATTCATAAGACGAGTCAAGGCCGAAGATCTCAAGACAAGGCCGAAGACGAGACACCAATGTGCAAAATTGGTGTCAAAGTTATCAAGACCCAATGTGCAAAATTAGTGTCAATGGTATCATGACCTAATGTGCATAATTGGTGTCAAAAGTATCAAGACCGAGGATGCAAAATGAAGTCTATGCATGAATACAAGAATGTGCAAAACTCGTGTCACCTAGTGAAGATAATAATGTGCAAGATTGGTGTCACATAAGAGAAGCCCATGAGAGACCTTCTAGAAGACCTAAGAAGCACAAAGTCTCTCATGGAGCCGTTGGAGACAAAGGAAGGAGACTCAAATTCAAACTTGGTCTTGGTCAAAGTTGGACCACAACCTTCTAGAAGACAAAAGAGGACCACAACCTTCTAGAAGCTATTTTGAATTCAATGGTGGAGATTTAAAGAGAGAAAAGAAGGGCTAGGATTAAAGGGGATTGTGAGACACCTTAACCTAGTTCTCTTTCTATATAAAGGCTAGAAGCCTCATTGTAAATTCAATTCAATCAATACATCAATAAGAAAAGACAAGTCTTGATACAAAACGTTTTAGCTTAATCTACTTTACTTGTGTTTAACTTAATGTTAACAATGTAGAGAGTTAAAGTTAAACCGTTTAGGTCTGCCTTAGGGCAGCCCATTTCTTGTTAATCTTACTCTTAAATACACCTTAAACTCTTCTTTATCTCTTATTTATGTTGTTTACTCTAGCTAAATGATTCATAGATTCGTTTCTCTCTAAGTACACAAACCTTTAGTGTTGTGTTACTTCTCATGGATCTAGCTTCATACTAGAGATAGTTGTCTTGCTAGAATCGATTCTATCCATAGAGATTTCGGTTCTACCAAGCTATATTGGTGTGGATTCCATCACAAGTTGATGGTCTCTTCCTCTTGAGAATGAGTTCCCTTTGTGTGGATAAAAGGAGATCCAATCACCAAGTGATTGTTTACTCTTTCCTATGAGCTTAGTCTCTTCAATTTCAACATGGTATCAGAGCGGGTTGCTCTCTTGGAACTCTTAAAATCGTTCTCAAGTTGTTTCTAAATTTCTCTTAGTTGTTAAATTGCTTAGCTTCTTTAAAGGTTTCAGCTTTAGACTAGATTCTTTAAAGTTTCAGCTTTTATTGTTAAAATCATTTCTCTAGCAGCTCAATGTTGAGAAAAGCTTGGATTCTGGTCTTGTTAAAGTTCTTAGACCAAGCATGTGAAGAGAAATTGATGATTCCATTGGACAAACTGTTTTGTTCCAATGGTTTCTTTAAAACTAGGCCACGGAAATCATCTTCAATATGGTATTTCGTGGTTCATAGTTCTTTAAAGTCACCGGAAAACTCTTGGTCATGAGTTATTTCGGTGTGTTTATGTCTTAAACCGGTGGGTAAATGAATTGCCCAACGGTCCATATTGTTTCAGCCATTAAAGCACCAAACTCTTGATGATTATTGGATGCCTTGGTTGTTAAAGCTTCCGCTTAACTCAAGAAAACAGAGCAAAACTCTATCCATTTGAACTCTTGAGCAAACTCTTTATTCTCCATTCTTCTTTATTGTCTTCTATACTATTATTCTCCTTTATTTCTGCCCATTCTATTCACTTACACTTATCTCTCACCAATTTTGTTTGTTTTGGTGTCCATTAACTCTAATCTGTTTTGCAAGGAATCGCTTGTCTCATGAAGAGAAGGCGAATGCATTTGTTAGAGATTAAGGGCTGGATAATCTGGGCACTATAAGTTTGCGGGAGGGTTAGAACCATTCACCATCAGACTTGAAGTCCATTAGGCGAACAAACCGCAAAAGTTCAAGCCTTCTTCAAATAAAGGCTGTTCCTAAACTCTACTCTCATTTCATGATATTCTTCATTAAACCATTGCCTTAGAATTCACAGCTTAATCTTATTCATGAACTCCTAATTGTTGCTTAATTGCCTTGATATTCCTCATTTGATATTCTCTTTGATATTCCTTATGGCAAAACTTAATCTTTTCTTCTTTATTTCTTGTTTAAGGGTGAAGGAGACCATAAGAGCCTCAAAGAGACCAATGAGAGCCTCAAGGAAGTAAAAGTTGACAAGGAAAGGATTCAGACCAAGTCATGAAGGACTAAGAAAGTGAAGAGTAGAGCCGGTTATATTTGAAGTCCATTTAGACGATCCAACCAAGTCAAAACTCAAGACAACACGAAGAAGAAATCTGGCCAACGAACTCAAGTGGTTGTTAGAGAGGAAGTGACATTGGTGGACGATCAAATTAGAGAAAAAAAATCTGGTGGGAATGTTGAATCAAGCTCACGCATTCAAGTGTCAAAGTCGGAGCTCAAGATTGAATGTGCACAAGACTTCAAAGTCATTGATGTACAAGGTTTCAAGGCTCGAAAAGGGTTAAAACCATCATGGTTTAACATGTTCTAAAAAGCGATCTAGAGACCTCAAGAAGAGAGCTCAAACCGCAACAAAAGTTCAGTTTGGAGTAGCCTATTGAACCAAGTGAAAAAAAAAAGAATCCATCCGGGTCACTTGGTGTTTTGCACGATCGGTTGTAAACCGTCTCGTGCCACTCGTCCGTACGATTCAACTATGAGGCCGTCCGTACAAGGTCATGATCGGCCCATTGGGATCTCCATAAGCCTCCTAATCTTATCCAAAGCTACACCAACGTTCTAGAAGACTCTCGATCCTTCCCATAAGAGCCGTTACTCTCGCAAAAGGAGAAGAAGACAAGGAATGCTTTATTACCTTTATGACGCGTTTCCTCTCTTATGACCGTTGTACATAGAGCATATTCTTGAGGATATTCCGATTGTCTAGCCCTTAAAAGGGAACCTTGTACTTAGCCATTTTTTGTAAGAAAGAGAAATAATCTTTCCAATCTCTCAAATCTCTCAAATCTCTTTACTCTCTTTAGCTTACACTTTTCCGATTAAAGTTCTCATCTTTTCCGATCATCATAAGGTCCCATCGAAACCTAAAAGCTCCATAATCTAACATGGTAACAGAGCAATAAGCTCCATATCCTTCATTCAACCCACCTCATTTACTTTCGCACCAAATCTCTCTCTTTTCTTTGATTGTGTTCGATGAGTTCATTCTATGATGAGATGAGTTCTTTACACTCGAAAATCATTCCGGTTATCCTCAAGGGAGGAAACTACTTGCTGTGGTCACGAACCACAAGATCTGCCTTGTGTAGTCGGGGACTTTGGAACCATATCTTGAACGAAGAGGCGCCAAAGGAGACGACCACAAGAGATGGACAAGAAATCGTTCGTGTTGATGAGGGGAAATGGTTCCAAGAAGATCAATCGGTCTTGGTCCTTCTCCGAAACTCGCTTGAGTCCTCAATACTCGAAGCTTACTCCTATTGTGAAACTCCTAAAGAGCTTTGGGATACTCTCTTTAATGTGTTTGGGAATCTCTCCAACTTGAGCCGGGTGTTCGAAGTGAAGAAGGCCATCAACGATCTATCTCAAGGAGACATGGAGTTCACTCAACATTTCGGCAAGTTTAGGTCTCTTTGGGCGGAGCTCGAGATGCTAAGGCCTAACACCATTGATCCGGCGATCCTCAACGAAAGGCGTGAACAAGACAAGGTCTTTGGTCTCCTTCTCACCTTGAACTCCACCTACAACGATCTCATCAAGCACTTACTCCGAGCCGAGAAGCTACCTAACCTAGAAGAAGTGTGCTCTCAAATCCAAAAGGAGCAAGGATCTCTTGGTCTCTTCGGAAACAAAGGAGAGCTTGCTACAGCCAACAAAGGAGAGCTCACCACCGCCAACAAGGGAAGCTACAAGTCCGAGAACAAGAGAGGCCTAACTTGTGACCATTGCAAAAAGACGGGTCATACCAAGGACAAGTGTTGGATCCTCCATCCCCATCTCCGACCAAGTAAATGGAAGGATCCTAAAGCTCATCAAGCGAACTGGAGCCAAGAGACTCAAGACACCTCCAGACCCGGACCCTCAACTCAAGTGAATGGTGTTGGAGTGGCAATGACGGCGTCTTCGGAGTATGTGAAGAAGTCTGATCTCGATGCTCTCATTAAGGCTCTTAAGGAGTCATCCGGTAAATCCTATCATGCTATTGCTCATACTATAAAACCTCTTATTGTTGATTCGGGAGCCTCTCATCACATGATTAGTGATTCTAGGCTAATGAACAATATTGAACCGGCTTTAGGAAACGTGGTAATTGCTAATGGGGATAAAATTCCGGTTAAAGGAGTAGGTGATTTAGAGCTATTTGATAAGAAGTCTAAAGCCTTTTACATGCCAAATTTTACTTCTAACTTGCTTTCCGTTAAAAGAGCAATGACCGATTTAAATTGTTATGCGATATTTGGACCTAATGATGTTTACTTTCAGGATATTGAATCAAGTAGGGTGCTTGGTCAAGGAGTTACAAAGGATGGTCTTTATGTTCTAGAAGACACAAAGCTATCCGAACCTTTATCTTCTCATTTTAGTTCAAATATTGTTGTTGCGAATAGTGCTATTTGGCATGCTAGACTAGGTCATCCACATCCTCGGGCTTTAAGTTTAATGCTACCAAAAGTTTCTTTTCAAAGTCTTGATTGTGAAGCTTGTATTCTTGGTAAACATTGCAAAGCTATTTTTCCTAAGTCGTCTACTATTTATGAAAGTTACTTTGATTTAATTCATTCGGATGTGTGGACTTCACCTTGTTTATCAAGAGAAAACCAAAAATATTTTGTCACATTTATTGATGAAAAATCAAAGTATACTTGGCTTACTCTCCTTCGTTCAAAAGATCGTGTTCTTGAAGCTTTTAAAAACTTTCATACTTATGTGACTAACCAATACAATGCCAAGATTAAGATTTTTAGATCCGACAATGGTGGGGAGTATACAAGCCAAGCATTCAAGGATCACCTAGCGTCACACGGAATCATCCACCAAACAAGTTGCCCTTACACTCCTCAACAAAATGGTGTATCGGAACGCAAGAATCGACACCTAATGGAGATTGCAAGGTCCATAATGTTTCACACCAATGTTCCAAAGAGATTTTGGAGTGATGCCGTGATGACCGCGTGTTACTTGATCAATAGAACACCAACAAAGATTCTACAAGACAAGTCTCCATTTGAGGTACTCACTAAGACTAAGCCTTCTCTTGATCACTTACGTGTGTTTGGTTGTGTTTGCTATGTCTTAGTTCCCGGAGATCAAAGGAACAAGCTCCAAGCCAAAAGCACTAAGGGAATGTTCATCGGGTATTCAACAACTCAAAAGGGTTACAAGTGTTATGTACCGGAGTCAAGGAAAGTATTGGTGTCAAGAGATGTAAAGTTTGTGGAAGACAAGGGATTCTATGACAAGAAGGATTGGGAAAGTCTTAAGGATTTGTCTAGCTCACCATCGGATAGAGCTACTAACCTTCGGATTATTCTTGAGAAGCTTGGAATTGAGAACTACCAACCTTCACAAACTCAAGCTCCACACCCGCCACAAGGACAAGAGACTCAAGAACAAGAAGAAGAAAGTCTTGAGGAAGAAGTCCAAGACACTCAAAATGAAGAAAATAACCTCAACACTCAAGAAGAAGATCATATACCCGATGGTGATGGCTCCAACGAATTAAATCAAGAGGAAGAAGACACTACTCAAGAAGTGACTCAAGAAGTGATACCTTTAAGAAGAAGTGAAAGACTTCGCTTTCATCCCTCAACATGGAAAGACAAGAGAGTCTACTACAATGCCAATGCGGTAGCTCATCCAATTCAAGCCGTATGCACTCTTGCTCACCTACCCGAAGAACATCAAGTCTACCTTAGCAAAGTTGATCAACATTGGATTCCCACAACATATGAAGAAGCCATGCAACATCAAGTGTGGAGAGACGCTATAGAAGCCGAAAGACAAGCCATGATAAACAACCACACATGGGATGAAAAGGATCTACCTAGAGGAAGGAAAGCCGTGACCTCTAAATGGGTATTCACCATCAAGTATAAGAGTGATGGAGAAATTGAGAGGTACAAGGCTAGACTTGTAGCAAGAGGTTTTACTCAAAAATATAGAGAAGACTACCTTGATACTTTTGCCCCGGTGGCCAAACTTCACACGGTTCGAGTGGTTCTTTCATTGGCTACTAATTTGGAATGGGATCTTTGGCAAATGGATGTCAAGAATGCATTCCTTCAAGGAGAATTAGAGGAAAAAGTGTATATGAGACCACCACCGGGTCTAGAAGATAAAGAAGCACCCGGGAAAGTTCTTAAGCTCAACAAAGCAATCTATGGCCTTAAGCAATCTCTAAGAGCTTGGTATCACAAGCTTAGCACCACACTCCTAGGAAGAGGATTCAAGAGATCTGAAGCTGACCATACACTCTTCACTCTCCCTAGCCAAGAAGGTATAGTAGTCATTCTCGTTTATGTAGATGATATTATCATCTCCGGGAATGACAAGGTTGGTATTCAAGATACTAAAGATTTCCTTAAAAGTGTCTTTGATATTAAAGACCTTGGAGAACTAAAATACTTTCTTGGGATAGAAGTTTGTAGATCAAAGGAGGGTCTCTTCTTATCCCAACGAAAGTATACTCTTGATCTTCTTGATGAAGTAGGTAAGCTTGGCGCTAAACCAGCAAAGACTCCCTTGGAAGATGACTACAAAGCTAGACGAAAGGGGGAGTATGATAACAAGCCTTTTGAAGATCCTACCAAGTATCGGAGGCTAGTAGGTAAGCTCATCTATTTAACCATCACTAGGCCTGATATTTGCTTTGTCGTGAATGTAGTGAGCCAACAAATGCAAGCTCCAAATCAACACCATTGGAATATGGTGAACCGCATCCTCAAGTATCTCAAAGGCGCTCCAGGTCAAGGCATTTGGATGGGATGCAATAGGAACACGGAGCTTGTTGGGTATTGTGATGCGGATTACGCCGGAGACAAGAATGATAGAAGATCAACAACCGGCTATTGTACCTTCATTGGTGGAAATCTAGTGACTTGGAGAAGCAAGAAGCAAAAGGTTGTGTCTCTTTCAAGTGCCGAAGCGGAGTACCGGGCCATGAGAAAGCTTACCACGGAGCTAATGTGGCTAAAGGCTCTCCTCAAAGACTTTGGTATAGACACGCCTCAACCAATCACTATGCATTGTGACAATCAAGCCGCCATTCACATCGCAACCAACTCGGTGTTTCATGAGAGAACGAAGCACATTGAAGTCGATTGCCACAAAGTCCGAGAGCAAATCCAACTTGGAGTCATCTTGCCACATTACACCGAGAGTGAAGAACAATTGGCTGACATCTTCACCAAAGGATCTAGCACCAAGGTGTGTGAGTACATTCACCAAAAGTTAGGTCTTGTTGACTTAACTCAGCCACAATCCCCTTAGCCAAATATCCCATACTCTTTTTCCCTAAGTGTGGTTTTATCCCATGAGGTTTTCTACACTTAGGTTTTTAATGAGGTGGTTGAATTTGGATCCAAGTCTAACCTCCATCTTTCTCCGGTTAGACTTGAGGGGGAGTATTGAACCAAGTGAAAAAAAAAAAGAATCCATCCGGGTCACTTGGTGTTTTGCACGATCGGTTGTAAACCGTCTCGTGCCACTCGTCCGTACGGATCGTCACTCGTCCGTACGATTCAACTATGAGGCCGTCCGTACAAGGTCATGATCGGCCCATTGGGATCTCCATAAGCCTCCTAATCTTATCCAAAGCTACACCAACGTTCTAGAAGACTCTCGATCCTTCCCATAAGAGCCGTTACTCTCGCAAAAGGAGAAGAAGACAAGGAATGCTTTATTACCTTTATGACGCGTTTCCTCTCTTATGACCGTTGTACATAGAGCATATTCTTGAGGATATTCCGATTGTCTAGCCCTTAAAAGGGAACCTTGTACTTAGCCATTTTTTGTAAGAAAGAGAAATAATCTTTCCAATCTCTCAAATCTCTCAAATCTCTTTACTCTCTTTAGCTTACACTTTTCCGATTAAAGTTCTCATCTTTTCCGATCATCTTAAGGTCCCATCGAAACCTAAAAGCTCCATAATCTAACATAGCCATGGAGTCCACTAAGTAGACAACATGATTGGTACTCGTTGGAAGTATCATGGCGTCTTGGAGTTAGACCTTGAAGAACCCGGAGTAGAAAATAATGGCTACCCGTGTTGAAGAAAGGGAGCGGCTTCAATTCTCATGCCCATTCTGGTTACTAAACCCCACATACTCTCAACCTCAACTCAAGAAAACAAAGCTAAGAACTTTGTCCATTGGCACTCTTGAGTCCATACTCTTTATACTCTTTATTCTCTTATTCTTGGTAACATACACTTTCATTTTTGTCTCTTATTCTCAGGCTTATGCCTTCCATCTCTTCTTGAGAGTATTCCAAGAAGAAATGGCGACCACAAAAACAAAGCCCTTGAAGAAGAGACTCACGGAGGAAAGAAGGGGGAAGAGAACCATGGGATGTCTTTGAACAAAATGTTCAAAGCATTTAAAATCATGATGAATCCAAAAGTCCTCTTCAATTCACGTTGAAGAAGTTCTCTCAAGGGATAAAGAAAAGAAGCCATCATCAAGAATGGCGATTCAAACCAAAGGCTGTGCTCTAAAACTCTACTCTATTTAAATTCATTACCGTAGTTCAATTGCTAGTCTTTATGCTCTAATATGTTTCTCTTAAACTTGTCACATTCTTAAATTTTCTTTGATATTCCTCATAGCATACACTTATATATTCTTCTTTATCACTTGTTTAAAGGGTAAAGGAGACTATGAGAGCCTCAAAGAAATTCGAGAAGTGCAAGATTGGAGATCATGAGAAGCGAGTCAAAGGCAGTGTAGCGGTTCAAAGACTTGAAGGGGAGAGAGCCGGTTCTTTACAAACCAAGATCATAGCGACGTCAAGGACCGTGAAGGCTATACTCTTTTTCCCTTAACAAAGTTTTATCCCACGTGGTTTTCTTTGTTAAGGTTTTTAATGAGGTAGTCGACACGTGTCCACGCTTGATCTTTGGTCCTCATGGTGTCCCGACGATCAAACGTGCGGGAGGGTATTAAAATATAAGAAGGAAAGAAGAGGACGAGCCATCTTCAAGAAGTAGAAGGGAGTCAAGGCCGAAGTCATGAAGACAAGGCCGAAGATCTCCAAGCTTGACCTTTGGTCCTTATTGTCCCGACGCTCAAGCTTGCGGGGGAGTATTAGAGTGTATGAAGAAAAGGAGAGAGAGGCCAAAGAGGCCGAGCCATCTCCAAGAAAGAGAAGAAGAAGTAGAAGGGAGTTGAGGCCGAAGTCATGAAGACAAGGCCGAAGATCTCCATAAGATAGCCGTGCAAAGCTCGGGTCACTTCAAGGTATCAAGGCCAGAAGTGCAAAATTGGTGTAAAGTCACCGAGACACCGAAGTGCAAAATTGGTGTAAATTCATAAGACGAGTCAAGGCCGAAGATCTCAAGACAAGGCCGAAGACGAGACACCAATGTGCAAAATTGGTGTCAAAGTTATCAAGACCCAATGTGCAAAATTAGTGTCAATGGTATCATGACCTAATGTGCATAATTGGTGTCAAAAGTATCAAGACCGAGGATGCAAAATGAAGTCTATGCATGAATACAAGAATGTGCAAAACTCGTGTCACC